CGCGCACCATCAATAACGGAACGAGACACCACGTCTCGATACGTTTCCTTGCTTATTTATTAGTGATGAGCCTGGTAGATTATTTCCTCTCGGGGCGCGCCTGGACAAGAGAGCCTTTGGGGGACCCTGCATCCTCCAGCTAAGCGTAGGATAGGATGCGTCCTATGTATAAGCGGATGATCACAAGGCATCCCGCTTATACAACACCGATTTGGGTAGGCTCGTAACATTCAAGTGCTTGGGGCCCATCGAGCTGCATCAAAGAAACTTTATATCGATACAACCTCTGAACGAACCATTATTGAGGAGTGGTGAAAAAGTAAAATTTTATAACAAACGCTGACCTCTAACACAGTTTTGCCGACAACTGATGCCATTGGATTGCCTCCGAATGTGTTGAAATAGAGGGCTTTTCCAAATGAAGCTGCGATCTAGGGTAAAATTCTCTATAGAACGAGGACACCATAAAAAAATCAGTCGAACCTCTTCGGTAGTCACAACGGCACCCATGGGGAAGCCATTTCCAATACCTTTTGCCATTGTAACAATATCTGGTTTTGCATCTTGTGCTAAACTGATGAACTCAAAGAAGTTGGAGCAGAATTAGAAATTTAGCTCGCAGTTGCCTAAATGCATACAAAAAATAGTTCCTACCCTCAAATCCCCAGAAATGTGAACCCAGTCGTCCAAAACCGGTCTGCACTTCATCGCTTATAGCTAATCCACCACGTGCGTGCACAGCTTCGAATGCCCGCTTCAGAAACCTGAAAAGATCCGAGTGGTCTTCAAATCAGTGGCGCCAACATAGAAAGGGGAACATATAACAGACCCGTTGGTAAATTGCATTGTCCCACCCACACCTTGAATGGATTCGATCAACGTCGCAGCGGGTCCTGTAGCAGCCGGGAAGTCATGTTTTATAGTTTCTTCGAACTGTTGGATATATCTAAACAAGTACTTCGTGTCAAAGATACACTGGTTTATTCTAGAGTTCGCTATCAAACGACGCCTATCAATTTGTACTATACTCGCACATCTTGCAGCTAAACCGACGCGGTCTTATTAGAAGTAAGTTAACACTTTGGTCTCATTTTGCGGTTTACAAACAATTGCCTAATTATTGACTAAAAAGTCATCATTTTCAGATCTGTGCATCTTAGCTGTAATGCTTTACGATGC